CACAGTGGGGCGTCGAGTCATGGGTGTTAATGACACAGGTGGTCACAGATGCGCACATTGGGGTGTCGAGTCATGGGTGCTAAGATGTGGGGTGGGTGGTCACGGATGCACGCAGTGAGGCGAGTCATGGGTGCTGTGACATGGGGTGGGTGGTCACGGATGTGCGCAGTGAGGTGTCGAGTCATGGTGTTAATGACACAGGTGGTCACAGATGCGCACATTGGGGCGTCAAGTCGTAGGTGTTACGATAATGGGGTGTGGGCCCCCCAAGTGTCACAGGCGCTGGGACACAGGCTCTGAATCTGCTGATGTCACAGACTACACAGTGGGATGGACCCAGGTGCAAACACATGTGGAGTCTGGTCTCTTGAGTGCTCTCTGGTGCTCTGTTCTGTCATCCGGCCATGTGACCCTCTCTGGTGAACACACCCCATGAGGTTGGTGGTGGGTGCAGCACCTGGGGTCTGATGGAATTGGACAGCCTTGGACATCTTGTCCCAGTAGAGAGCACAGAGTGGCCGGTCTGCGTTGTCTAGGAAGAGAGTCCCTGCATGAGGCCCAGTCCTTTCCATGTGCTGAATGCACCATGGCTGCCTTCGCTCTCTTGCAGGGTCTGGGAGACCCAGTGTTGACCCAGACACTGGACCCTGGAGACCTCCAGCACCTCACCCAGCACACACAGGCCAAGGGTCCCCCCAGGAACTTCAGGGTGCTGGGGACCATTCAGATGGGCCAGGATTTAAGAGGGAAGCATCCGAAAGCGGGTCTGTTTAACTCACCAGGACCTGAGATCCCCCAGAGGAGGAAGTGCCTCTGGGCATGGGGGCCAGGCCTGTGCTCTTGATTGTCCACCCAGATGGTTAGGGAGGTGGGGGTCTTGTGTCCTCCCTCAGCAGACAGAACGCTAGAGCCTCGAGTGTGGGCACTGACCTGATGCCCAGGGTGGACTCTCAGTCTTTATGTCCTTGTTGTGTGTTCTTGAACAGGAAACACATTCTCTTGGTGCTAAAGTTTCTCCATAATGCGAGCGTGGGAACAACTCTGTCATCTCATCTGACGAGGTTCATCAGGCCTGCGGGTGCCGAGGATGCCTCAAGTTTCCGGTCTATCTGAGTTGGGTCTTGCCTGTTTTAGAAGTAGTCCTTCCCCGGGTACAGGGTGTGGCATCCCAGGATAGGTGGGGACTCGGGTATGGAAGGAGTCCTGGTGACTTCTGATGTAAAGACGTTGGGTGGTGATACCGCCACCACCTGGAGCAGCTCAGGGTGGCTGCCTGGATGCTGAGAACACAAGGAGAATGAGATACCCATCCCCAGGTTTCTGGGGAGCACTTGTGCTGCTAACCAGGCTTCAGTGGCGCTCCCAAAGTAAGACCAAAGACCTGGTGGTTTACTTCCCAAACCAACGCACAAGAGCCCTGTGGGTCCCAGCAGTCCCATCTGGAACCAGGCATGGGGACTGTGATCCATTGTAAGTCGGGGCCAATTCCTCAGCAGCTTACAACACAATGGACCCCAAAGATGGGGGTTGGGGAAGGACCAAAGACGGTTTTTCTCGAAGAGTTGGACAATAGCTCACTGCACTTCAGCTATTTCCTGACATCATCTGAACAGAGCAATGTCTCCTGGTGTGTGTTCGCCCCAGCTCAGCCATCTTCCTTTCTTTGTCAAAAATGAAAGAAAAACCAGGCATTCAGGATTGAAATGCTGCAGGCTGCCGACAGCCCCAGCATTGCCCATGAAGCCAGGGTTGGGGTCGAGATTTCAGGATTTTGCACTGCCAGGAGTCTGAGGCCCACACTGCAGAATCACAGCCTTCTAGAAACCTAACCCCGTGGTTGGGTGAGTCATGGCTGGGCCTGTGAGGCTCCATCTGTCCGTCCATCCATCCAAAGGGTGATGAGGGGCTCTCCTGGGAAGGTGTCCACAGCCAACTCAAGAAGAGGTTTGGGGGCCCCAGGCAGTGCTGGCCCCTTAGCCACCCCAGCCTTCCCTAGCTGGGGTCCTGTATTCAGCACCAGCCATGACCCTGTCTCACCGCCCCCCCAACATTCACCCACTTTGGGCCATGGGCCTCAGTCCAGGCTGACTTGGCCAAGTCTGTGTCAGGCCTGTGGACAGGCCACCCTAGATTCAGCCAAGGCGCAGACATACCACAGGGGAATGGGGGAGGCCAGAGGCCCAGAGCCTTCCTGCCCTGGCCTGAGGGGAGGCAGGCAGGCCACTGTTTGAGCATCCTGGGCTGTTATGAGACCCACCCCACATTCAGCAGCTTAATACCACACATGAGTCATGCAGTCCTGCACGGCTGAAGTCCAGTGGGGCCCTTGGGGCTCAGAGCAGGGTGTCAGAGCTGGGTCCTTGTGGAGGCTCTGGAGAGGATTCCTTCCTTGTCGTTTCTGGCTTTAAGCTGCGGTGTGCTTCTTGGCTTGTGGCCCCTTCCTCCTACTTCAGAGCCAGCAGTATGGGATGTTCTCGCTCATCACACCTTCCATCTCTGCATCTTCTCCCTGACCTGCCCACTCCAGACCCTGGGACTCTATGGGTAACCCAGAACCCTCTCCCAGGCTCCCTGCCCTTGGCCACACCCGCCAAGTCCCTTTCCCCTCCGGTTCCGGGATTAGAAGTGGCCCCTGAGGACCGCTGTTCAGGTGACCTCAGGTCCCTCACCCCAGGGGAGGGGCTAGGGCTGTGGCGATAGTGTGGGGAGGTCCGAGGAAGCAAAGTGAGCACTGTCTGTAAGTGAGGGGGTACAGACTGGTCAGACCCCATGTGGAGAGGGGGTCAGGGCTGTAGTAGGGGGTACAACTGGATTGTGCTGGCTGGGTGGGGGTGTAGGTAAGGGAGTTGAATGGGAACTTGGACATCTGGTGCTGGACCATCGGGGGGAATTGGAGAGGGGCAATGTTCTTGGACTGAATCCCATGCAGAGGACGTAGTGGGAGGCTTTCTGAGCTGCCCCCACCCCCACACATGTTCCCTAGAGCTCAGACTGCTCTTCTCTGTCCACCCCTCCTGTGTCCCAGAATTCTTTGCCCCCATAGCCCTGAGTCTGCACACAGTGACTGGCCACCAGTGCCCAGGACATCTGCAGATAGGACCTGGGGAGGGGGGCTGCCTGGCTGCCCGGGTTAGGGTCCAAGCCGTGCTTGCTCCTCTCAGGCGGGTTCAGCTGTGTGGGGTCTCCATCAGGACCCTCCCTAGGGAATCCCGAGGACCCTGCTCATCAGCAGCTGTGCACACCCACTGGGTGTCCACTCCCCGCTCTCCAGGTTTGCCTCCTCCACCTGAGTACTGGCTCATTCCAGGAAGGTTCTGAGTGACCTCCGGCCACTAGTCCAGCAGCTAGCCCTGTCTGGAAAGGAAGACGACCTGCTGGATGTGTCCATGGTCTGCCCACCTGCCGCGTGCCTTCGAAGCTATGTCATCATCCTCAACTGAGCGTCAGAGTGGAGGGAGGCTTGTCCTCTGCCTGCTTCGGCCACCTGACAAAACCAGCAGAGATGGCGACTGGCGTGCCGAGTCCAGAGCAGCCAAGCAGACTCCGTCCTGACCAGAGCCCCACTTCTGCCCTGCAGGGGCCCGTGCCTTCAGCCCTGGTTCTAGACTAAAGTGCGTCCTCTCTGAGGGTCGTAGGCACTGCTTGTACCCACATCTACCTAGCATCCTGCGGTGGTCAGAGACAGACCACCCCTGCCCGACAGTCAGGGAGCCACCCCAGGGGTTAGAGGTCCCAGGACCCTTGCTACTGAGCAAGCCCACTGCAGGGGAGACAAATCTTTGCGGTTGCTTTGCCCCTCTTTGGCTCCTGGGATGACTGTGAGGACAATCTGTGAATCAATGAGATTTTCTCAATTAAGAGAGCTGACCGCTTTGCAGCTTCCATTGCACCCTTCTCTGAGTCCAGCTCATCACTGGACCCCCAACCCTTGTTTTCATTGAATGTGGGGGCCACTGGTACAAGATGCCCCCTTCCAGAGTCTCCCCTGGACCCATCCCATGCCTGGCCAGCCCTCCTATCTCATTCATGGACCAAGGTGGTAGCATCTTCATGGCCCTCTTCCCCAGCCTCTCTCCTGGTCACCCACCCGCATCTGACAAGCCCCCTCTGGCCTGTCGACCTTCCTCTCATACCCTCCATGACTCCCCAGTACTGTCAGGATGGAGTGCTGACCCCAATCTGCTGCTTCCTTTGTGCCATGACATACATCACCGTGGGCCATGGTCTCTGGACCCTTTTCCTGTTATGGCAGACTGTCCCCCTCGATCCCTCAAACTATTGGGGTAGGGGTGATGGTGGCCTGGGGCTTTGTGCTAGGTCTGAGTGAGAATGGGGACCACAAATGCTGGGGCCGGGACTGGAGAAGCCTGTGGGATCGCCCTGCCCAGTGTGGGATCACTGCCCTCTGTTGGGGCCCCTAAGCAGCATCCACAGTGACCACTGGTCTCACAGGTTGTGAACAGGTGCTCTCAAGTGCACGATGCAGGCGTCAGGACAGGGACAGGCCGACGGAGGGGGTACAAGTGGCATGTCGGTGCTGTTGCTTCCTGGTCCCTGCTTGCCACCAGGCAAGGGGCTCCAGCAGAGAGAGGACCTGAGGGGCCACTTAGGGTGAGGAAGGGGGACCCCGCTGGGGGGACCTGGGTGTACTGCACTGTGACTGGGGTCACCATCGGCAGGCAGGGCTCTCAGGCCTGGAGGGGGTGGATCTGGAAGGTTGTAATGACTGTTTTTCCTGGAAACTGAAGGGAAATGCCCCCTGTTTAGTTTTAATGGGGAAACCTTGGTCCATTTAAGATGTGAGTCCTTCCTCTTTGTTATCCAGGGGTCTGGGGTGGGGGGCAGAGGGCAGGGAGTGTCTTGGAGAACTGGCATTCCTCATCTAGAATGCACCTGGCCAGGTAGGATCCTGTGCCAACCGCCCTGCACAGCAGTCCCCAGGCAAACGTGGGCAGAGCTGGGGTCAGCCGCTGGGAGAGGGACCCTAGTTGAGGGCCGTAGTCTGCCCTGTGCCTTTCTGGGGCTCGGTTTCCCCGGAGTGTGTGTGATTAAGTTGGGACCCCTCTCCTCACTGTGCCGCCGCTGACTGCAATGGGGGGCAGCCAGGGTGAGACCCCACACACACACCCGCTGTGGGTAGGGCTGCTGTTGAGGGGAGCTGGAGAGGCCTGTGGCGCCCGGGGAGGGGGGTCTGAGCAGGATAGCGGATGAAGCCCAACCTGTGCCTTTCACCCAAGCCCCTTCTCTCCCCCGCAGTTCCCAGTCCCACTCCCTCAGCCCGCAGCCCCGCCCTCAGAGCCGCTTCCAGGTCCTCCCCTAGGCTCAGCCCCGCCCCTGCCACACCTCCAAGCGCCTTTGGGCCAGTCCCAGACCCCCTCCCTGGGCCCGCCCCCAGCCCGTGTCTCCTCTCTGCCCCCAGAGGAGCCCATTTACTGTTACACCCCGCACAACTTCACCCGCGACCAGGCCCTGTACGCCCGCGGCTACTGCTGGACGGAGCTGCGGGACGCGCTTCCCGGCGTGGACGCCAGCCTCTGGCCGTCGCTGTTCGAGCACAAGTTCCTGCCCTACGCTCTGCTGGCCTTCGCCGCCATCATGTACGTGCCCGCGCTGGGCTGGGAATTCCTGGCCTCCACGCGCCTCACGTCCGAGCTCAACTTCCTACTGCAGGAGATCGACAACTGCTACCACCGCGCGGCCGAGGGCCGGGCCCCCAAGATCGAAAAGCAGATTCAGTCCAAGGGGCCCGGCATCACCGAGCGCGAGAAGCGAGAGATCATCGAGAACGCCGAGAAGGAGAAGAGCCCCGAGCAGAACCTGTTCGAGAAGTATTTGGAGCGGCGCGGCCGCAGCAACTTTCTGGCCAAGCTGTATCTGGCGCGGCACGTGCTCATCCTGCTCCTCAGCGCGGTGCCTATCTCCTACCTGTGCACCTACTACGCCACCCAGAAGCAGAACGAGTTCACGTGTGCGCTGGGCGCCTCGCCCGACGGGCCGCCAGGTGGCGCGGGCCCGGGCCCGGCTGTGCGCGTCAACTGCAAGCTGCCGTCGGTGCAGCTCCAGCGCATCATCGCGGGCGTGGACATCGTGCTGCTGTGTTTCATGAACCTCATCATCCTGGTCAATCTCATCCACCTCTTCATCTTCCGCAAGAGCAATTTCATTTTCGACAAACTGCACAAGGTGGGCATCAAGACGCGCCGCCAGTGGCGACGCTCCCAGTTCTGTGACATCAACATTCTGGCCATGTTCTGCAATGAAAACCGCGACCACATCAAGTCACTCAACCGGCTGGACTTCATCACCAACGAGAGCGACCTCATGTACGACAACGTGGTGCGGCAACTGCTGGCCGCACTAGCGCAGTCCAACCACGACGCTACGCCCACGGTGCGTGACTCGGGCATCCAGACGGTCGACCCGAGCGCCAACCCCGCCGAGGCCGACGGCTCCTCGGAGCCGCCAGTGGTCAAAAGGCCGCGCAAGAAGATGAAATGGATTCCCACCAGCAACCCTCTGCCTCAGCCCTTTAAGGAACAGCTGGCGATCATGCGCGTGGAGAACAGCAAGACTGAGAAGCCCAAGCCCGTGCGCAGGAAGACGGCCACCGACACGCTCATCGCGCCGCTGCTGGACGCGGGCGCCCGTGCCGCACACCACCACAAGGGCGGCGGCGGCGGAGAAACCTCTGCGCCGCCCGCCACTGCCGCCGCCGCGGGGGACAAGAAGCACGCGCGGCACTTCTCGCTGGACGTGCACCCCTACATCCTGGGTACCAGAAAGCCCAAGCCCGAGCCCGCCCCTGCCGTCGCCCTGCCCGCCTCCCGGAGCCAGGAGGGGGGCTTCCTTTCGCAGGGAGACGAGTGCGCGCTGGGCCTGGCCACCGCACCCACCAAAGGTAGGGCGCAGGCAGTGAGCTGTGCGTTAGCTGGGGGAGGAGGGGGCGGCGCCCTGGTGGGCCTTCTCAAAGGGGGATCAGGGTTTAAGAAGCGGCGCTGTAGGATAAACACTGGAAAAGTAACCTAAAGGTTGGCAGTTCAAACCCACACCAGCCACTCACAGGGTCGCTGTGAGTCTGAGCTGACTCCATGGCACTTAACAACAATGAGCCACCAGTTGGAAGAGGGGGCAGGGCGGAGGTGGATTGACTGCCCCAGCCAATGGCAGCGCAGGGAGCAGACGAGAACCCCCCCCCCCAACCCAGTGGACAAGGGCGGGGCAGCCTGGGCAGGTTTCTGTGCGCTCAGGGAGGTGTACTGCACGCACGCGGGCACAGACACACAGACACACCGTGGACAGGACGGTGTGGGGTTCATGGTACAATCCATGGCAAAACTGTGACCCACGTCTTCTCGCTGCTTCCAGATGCCCCTCTTCCGGAAAAGGATCTCGCGTTCCCAGCAGATGCACCCCGGGCCAGTCTTCCCTCCGCCGGCCCCTTCCACGTCTGCTCACCCGTCTCAGCCCCTGCTGCAGCTCCGCTGTCTCCGCCCGGCCTGGGCAAGGCTGACCCCCTGACTATCCTGAGCCGAAACGCCACTCATCCCCTTCTCCACATCAACACGTTGTACGAGGCCGGGGAGGAAGAGGAAGGGGGCCCCTGCCCACCCCCGGACATGGGTGAGCTTATTGCCATCCCGCCCCCTCAGCAAATCCTCATTGCCACCTTCGACGAGCCCAGGACAGTCGTGAGTACTGTGGAGTTCTGAGGGAAGAAACGCCGGCTGCCACCAGTCCTTTGCACGGGCCACCTTCCAGTGAGCCCAGCCCCGTGTGCACGCAGCCTGTGCCTGCCCAGCACTGCCCACTCCAGCGTCCGTCAGCATGCACGGGGGCTCAGCACCTCCCCCAGGCTCGACGGCGGCCGGCGGCCAGCGCCCACGGGTGCATCTTTTCAGCACTGGCCGGAGGCAGGGCAGGCTGTGGTCCAGCGGAGCGGCCCTCCGGTGTGCGCCCCCGCCCCAAACTGGGGTACAGCTCTAGGTGTGAGGCTGTCAGATGCAAAGTTTATTTTTTTAGTCAATTTAGTCTGGACCTGGGAAACAAGGGTCTTGCTTGTGGCAGATAAAGGTGGTCTCTTGCCCAGGGCCTTGCCACAGCCACACCCCAGGGGACATAGCTCAGGGGGCCGACCCTCCCCCCTGCAGGGGTGGGAGGGCGGCTGGGCCGCCCCTCCAGTCACGGTCACACACCTCCATGCACTTTCTTCTTGTAACCCGACATACATGTATTTTATTTTATTATGATTACTGTAATCGATGATATTTATTGATATGAGACTTGACACGTTTAAAACAGGAAGGTGTGTATGAGCAGGCAAGTGTGTGTGTGTGAGTGAGTGTGTGTGTGTGAGTTTGCGTCAAGGCCAGAAGGAGTCCAACGCAATAACCACATCCCCCGCCGGGCCATCAGCCAGGCATGCCTGGTCCAGTCCCTATTACCTCAGCCACGGCGACACGTGACCGCAGTATTAACAAGGTAGTACTGAGTATACAAATAAATACTATTCTAATACTTGCTTGGTGTCCGGGGCTCCAGCAACACCCTGCAGGGTGCCTCCCCACCATGGACTTCTCTGGGGAAGTGGGAGTGTGGGTGGCAAGGCAATTACAAGGGCATCACTCTTGGACCACCAATCCACAGACCCAGGTTGTCACGAGGGAGGGAGCTGCGGGGTCTGCTCGGATTGCTAACCACAAGACCAACAGTTCAAACCCACCAGCCACTTCTCAGAAACCCTATACAGGCTCACTATGAGTCGGAAGTGACTCAATGGCACTTACCAGCAACTTCTAGGGGTGTTCATAAGTACGTGGGGACCGGAGGGGAAGCATTGGGGAGGGAAGGGGGCTAGGCATGGGGGTGAGGCTGGTTAGCTTGAGGGTCTGGAGTGACAAGTGACCAGAAACCCCACGGTGGTGAAGGCAGGGCGGGGTTCAAGCAATGAGCGCAGAGTGGGACCACCCCAGCATGTTCCATGCCTATGTAGAGACCCACCTAAAGGACCTGGGATCCCCAAGACCTCCAAGAGCCAGGCGAGAGGCCATCCTGTAGGTGCTGACCAACCCCCAGAAAATGTTGGTCTAAGCCAGGCAGTGCAGCTCCTGAGACCCCACCACACGCAGCAAAAGAAGGGGGCATCATGTAGCCCCCAGGAGCTCCACCCACGCCCGCAGGGACAGGCAGGGGGGCCTCAGGTCCCCTGGGTCCACAGCACAGACCAGCAAGCTGGGGTGTATCCAGCCAGCCAAATGGAACCCAGCTAACGGGGTGACCCCACCCACTCAGCATCATGGTTTTCTGGGCCAGGTGCCTTCTCCCTAACTAGGGCTGGGGTCACTGACTCACCCTCAGTCCACTTGCCTCCCCACCCAGGCGCTCAGCTGGGCCTATGGGCCAGCACCCAGCCAATCCCAGAGACCCTGAGTTCTGGCGACATTCTGCTCCTCTGCTTCCCAGCTTGCTGGAGGCATGCAGTGTCCTCTGCGGAGGGGCACAAGAAATCAGCAGCCCTGGCCCCTTCGCTGCATGCAGGGTGGACAGGAAGGTTCCCTGTTTTGCGGAACTGCTGCTGAATCTTTGCTGGGATCAGGCCATGAGTAGGCAGCCCCACCAGCCCTGCTCCCTGACAAGGCCCCTCGTTTAGTTGTGTAAACCTGTGACCCCTCCCAGACTTTGTGGGGACATGAGAAACCTCTAAGTCTGGGGCTGGACACTGCTTACTGCTCCCAGGGACAAGGCTGCCTTCTCCCTATTTTCTTCCTCTGGCAACATGTCCCCCCAAGCCAGCCCATGTTCCTGGAAGCAGGTAGGGCCTGGCTGTCCAGGTGAGGTGCAGACACGTGCTCCCTGGTCCAGTCAAGCTCCCGGGGGTTCCCCCTGACCACTCCACTCTAGGGTCCTGCCTCTGTAAGACCCACTGGGTTCCGGAGATTCCCCCACCTGCCCTGCCCACAACACTCATCCTCATTGGTCATGTTACTACTGCCCCTGCTGACCCTGTACCCATAGGGTCTCCTCCTTACCCTCCCTCCCACCCCCCACTGACTTCAAGGAAATCACTCTGGGTGTTCAGAGGAACCAAAGGGCCTCCCTCCCGTGCAGCACAGTGCCCCTGGGGCCCTGGGACTTTACATAGCACCAGTTTGACTTTTAAATACCAACATCCAATCCTAGGGATTGGGTAATCACAAGGTATCCTCCTCCCCAGGGGCACTCCTACCCCACCCCCCACATTGGGAGGAACAGAAACTGATGCAAACAAGACGGGGGAACCTAACCTTCAGCTCTTCCAAGCCAGCCGGAAATCACCTAGCTGAGATTTGTGTTAATTTCCTGACAGCATGGCTGGTCACCCCTTCCCCCAGGATTCACAGCTCCTTGTCTTTATGGGAGGCTGGCTTCCCTCTGCAGACGGCCACGGTGATTGGCAAAGTGAAGGGGAGAGATGCAGTCTCCCTTGCTTTCACCACGGAGTGCAGGAAAGGGCCCCCAGCCCAGAACTGTCACCCCCAAACTACCCCGTCTCCTTCCAGTTAGCCCTGTTGAAAGGGGAGGTAGGTGCGGTTCCATCTCAAGGGCAAGGAGGGGACTGCAGAGGGAGCCTTGCCTGAAGACCTCAGGAATCAGGGTTGAGCCAGGCTAGGATCTGACCCTTGGGAATTGTCCTGGAGGGACCTCAGCTAGTCCAGCCTCATCAGCAGTGGGTGGAAAAACAGTCCTTGTTTTCTGGGATTTGATGGGGCCATGGAGGCAGGACTGAAGGGACTCACAAGATAACCGAGGAGCAAAACCAGCCCAAGATGGAAAGGCATGGACCACAGGCCCAAGGAGGCCACTCTGAAGCCAAGTAGACTTCCTGGGGGACCAGGAAGTTGTAGGGCGGGAGGGGAAGGTGGGGCAGCCTGGTAGGTAAGGCATTCAGATGCTTCTGAATGCAGGTTCTTGCAGAAAACAGCTCAGTTAGCACCAACCCTGGATCTTCTTCACACCAGTTTGACCTCAAGAGGGCCACGTCCATATAGGCCACGCCCATATAGCCAACTGTCTACTCCTGATCTTGCTTGCACTGTAAGTGACCCAGACCAAACATGGAGGCCAGTCCTAGTGCCAAGGAAGGGGAAGTGGACAGCCATAACTGAGGCCCCATCCTGGCCCTCGGCTTGGGTGAGCAGCTGATCCTTGGTCACGGGAAGCTCCTTCAGTGTAGGAAGCAACTTACCACTGTGTACCTGCGTGGACACTACCAACGGTCCACTAACTAGTGCCCATCCTCGCAGGACCCAGCTGCATTCTGCAGCAGTTGGAGTCCTGGACTTGGGCAGGTCCATGGAGGAGTGTTGGAGGGCGCCAAGATTCAGGGGAGCTGGCTGGGAGGCGAGAAGGGAGGCTGGGATCGCAGGAGCTAAGTGCCCGGCCCCAGAGCCCCGGCCTTCCAGAAGCCTGTGCTGTCGAGGACGAACACGCGGGCGCAGCAAGCAGCAAGTCCTTAGCGCCCATGCGCGCGCGGTCCGCCCAGAGCTGATCGCGGTGATCTGCAGCGCGTCCAGCCCCGCCGCCTTCTCAGTGGCCTCTCAGCGCGTGCACAGGCCAGTCTGCGCCCCACACACAACGCACGCGCCGGCGGCCAGCAGCTGCCACGGTGCCTCCACCCTCTGCCCGAGCTTGAGACAGCCTGCCGCCTACACGAAGCTGAAACAGGAAGGGCTGCAGTGGCGCCAGGTCGGGCGCTTGCAGCCTGGAATCCGTGCCTGGCCGTGGAATTCGCTGTGAGCAGGAGATACACGCCGAGACGCGGCCAAAGAAGAGAGAGGGTCCACCCCCGACCGCCCGGCGTTCCCAGTCTCGCGGGCGGTGCCCCACCTCAAGCTTCCAATGGGACCCCACAGAGGCAGGCTCAGGGTAGCCGTGCCCACTGAAGCTCCGCCCCGCTCGGGCCAGGCCCCTCCGGCCGAGAGGCGAAGGTCGCTCAGAAGTCTCCTCCGAGTCCAAAATGTCGGGGTCGGTGGGTCAGAGGTCTTGACACCCGCTCCTCGAATGCTCACGCTTCTTCCGAGTCTGGGCCTCCAGTGTGTCTCAGGTCACGGGCCCTACCGCATCCTGCGGCCTTGCGCCTGTCTCTGCGTGGTCTTACGTATTCCCTTCGATCGGTTCCCCAAGGACAGGCGAGCGCTCCCCAGTAGAGAGGGAGGTCTCACCACCCGGTTTTCTCTGCTCTTTCATCCCTTTAATTAAATTGGACAGTTTACGGAACACTTGGGTTTGATTATTTTTCACTCAAACCATCCCGGTGGACACAGCACCAACATTATCCCCATTTTACAGACTCGGTGCAGTGAGTCATTCTCAGGTCGCCGTCTTATTTTAGGACCCAGGGAAGCCGGCGGAGAGGGCGGCACCGTCCTCACATAGCCCCCTGGGAAGTGTAGTCTACGGCCGAGATCTGGCAGTGTCGCCGGGATAGACGGGCGGCGCTCAGGACTGCGCTTCCCAGCATGCCGCGCGGCGCTCTTCGGCCAGGCCCGGCCACCCGGCCCTCCGACCTGGCCCGCCACGTCCGGTGGGCGACCAGGCCGCATGGAGGCCGGCTGAGGAACGCCGCTGTCTCGGTAAGCTGTGCGGGCCAAACCAGGTCGGGGACACGGGGTGGGTCGGCCGAGGGAGTCGCCAACGCCGCGGCCTCGTGCCCTATAGGCACCTGTGAGTGGGCGCGGGGCCCCGGGGTCCGGGCGGGCGGAGCCCTCGGGGCGGAAGGAGCGGGGCATTTCGGGGAGCCGGAGACCCTGAGACCTTTAGGGTCTGGGACCCCAGGGGACCACGGGGTGGAGTCCTGGGGAGTCCCAGGGGCGGGGTCCTGGGGACGAGGGTCCCGGGGGATTGGAGCCCCGGATCGCTTCTCGCCCGCGCTCACCTCTGGGACTCCGGCCTGAAGCGCGCAGCCTGAAGACCCTCGGCTGGAGGGGTCAGCTCCGGCCAGGAGGGGTCTCTCGGTTTAGGACCCCTGTGTTTCTGGCAGGGAGTAATGGGGGGCAGGGAAACCTCCTTGACAGAGGGCTGGGGTCTGTGCCACCGTGCGGCCGCGGACAGGCCCCCAATGTCCAGGGGCGGGTCCCCACATCTTGGAACTGCCCTGTGTCTGACGTGTGATCCTCAGTGAGACGAAGCAGGCTGCCAGATGGGCAGGACAGCCAGGCCTTCCCCGCACTGCGCCCGCCCGCGGGGCCTGTGGCCTGACTGGTCTCCCTCTTGCACCCCAGGGCTTATCCTGTGTCTTTCTCCAAGTTATCACAAGGAGGACACAGGCCCAGCTGACTTGGCATCACAGAAACAAGCCCCCACCCATCCGTGTGGAAGACACCTCCAGATACGAGGTGTGTGTGTTGGGGGGGGGCGGCATCTGTCTCCTGTCTTTGCCCTCGGCTACTGTTAGCCCTCTGGGCTAGTGGACATGCGTGCTGCCTGAAGAAGGAGGTCTGAAGCTGCTGAGAGCAAGGGGCTGTGGGGGGTGAGGGTGGGCCTTGAAATTTCCAGCTCAGGTGTGAGGGACTCACGACCCCTCCTGTACCCTGCACTGTTCAAGGTCTCCTCTGTATGGGTCCCCAGCAAAGCCCACTGGTGAGTGGATTCCAAAGTGCCCAGAGAGTTGCAGAGAATGTGCATGTTCACGGAAGTAGACTGACACATCTCTTCAGCAGAGCATCTGGTGGCTTCCAACCACTGACCTTTTAGCTAGCAGCCAAACGCTTACCCAGTCTGCAACCATGGGACATTCGCTGTCACTTTGACTTGTATCCCAACAGTCCTAGTGGTACAGTGCGTAGCTCCTCAGCTGAGTTCCCAGGGAGATGGACAAGGCAGCAAGCCTCCTGAGAGTACAGGAGGCTTGGTCCTATGTAGGGTCACCGTGAGCTGAGATCCACTTGGCAGCTGCGGGTTGGGTTGGGTTGGTTTGACCCAGGTGGGTCCCGAGTATGAGTCTCTAGTTCTCCACAAGTGCACCCTCTCCAGGGCCTGGGGTGCTCTCACAGTGTCTGAAATCCATTTCTGACCTGAGCTTCCTGGTAGTGTGAGCTGGAACGCAGCCCTGCCTAAAAGTTAGGGACAAGGAGTGCTGTCCCTCCCCTTCCTGAGCCTGGGGAAGAGGTCATGCAGTGAGGGTCTCCTGGCACCAGGGTGTCCACCTACCTGCCACGCAGGAACAACAGGGACTGCCGGAAACAGGGCCCCGCAGAAGGAGTGGTGACTGAAAGTATAGTTGGAATGGGACCCACAGATTGCAATGTGGGGGGGGTCCCACCTCAGCCCTGGTGGCGTGCTGACACCAGTGGTCAGACACCAGGCCGGTCCCTCCCCCTTGGGAGCTAGATGCTGACTGCCCACCCACTTGGTAAACCAGCTGGCACACTGGCCTGGCCAGCTTCTCTGCCCCGGTGATTTGGGGCTCTGCAGGAGAGATGCCAGCAAGCCAGACGGTGCTGTGTGAGCACAGAGCTGAGTGGAACAGACAAGAGTGTCCATCTGCCTCTGGCCATTCCAAAGCTGGACAGTGGTTGGAAGTTGCCCTGAGGCTGCCCCTTGCTGTGGTATGGAGCTGCTGGGACCACTCAGCCACAAGTGTAAAGGACAAAGGGGGGACCAGCCGTGAGGACCTGAGGCCGAATAGTGCTGATTGAGTGCGGGGCGTGGGTCACTAGGCAAGGCCCAGGGAGAGGGCACTTTCTGTCCAACACCCAGCCCCCATCTCAGAGCGAGCCTCCCTGGGTTCTTGGAACAATCCTTGGGGGCGCTGGTTGGGTGTGGGGGCTGCAGCGCACCCTGGAGACCTGGCCCCAGACCTTTCGTCCCGACAGCTGTGCCCCCAACCCCCACCCATGGGGTTGCTCCAGGTGACAAAGGGTCTGTGGTTCCTGCCCTGGTCACCCTGCTGGCTTCCTGGGCGTGGTTTCACCTTGGCTGAAGGCAACGTGGCTGACTCCCATTTGCTACTGCCACCAACCCTGCAACCAGGTGTTTTAAAGAAGTTTGTCCAGCTTTGTGGTGGCCAGTGTGGTGCTGGACCGCCGGACTCACTGGGCTTGTGTACCGGCTGCCCACAGATGTGGTCGGCAGGCTCCTCCTGACTGGGGGGGGGG